GCAATTAATAAAAAGTAGTCGATGTGAAGGAAAACAAATAAAACGATGCAGGAGTGTCGTTTAAAAGGTTTAATTAACCGTGGTTTTTTTTTTTAAGAAAAAATCAATTATCAATCGTTAAATAWATATATATATGTGTGTGTGTTTGTATACTTTCTTTTGTTATTTTTTAAATTTTTATTTCAATTAAAATTTATAATATTATAAATTATAATTTATTTATATTATTATATTATTTAAGTTATTGTATAATTATATATAATATAATATTGAATTTTATTTTTATTTTATTGAAAAATTTTATTATTTTGTTATTCTTAAAATTAAGAATAATAATAATTATAATAAAATAATAATAATTATTCTTAATTTTATCTTCCTTTTTTCTGTCTTTTATTTTATTTTAATTTATTTTTTTTTTTTTTTTAATTAATTCATCGAATCAAAGCAAATACTTGATCAATATTTTACATTTTGTTGATTCAACTAATATTTGCTTCATTAATTTTCTACGAATATTGATCGTTTATTCACTAATTGTAAAGTAAGAAAATATTTAATTTCGTTCGTCTTTCATATTATCTAATCTTATTTTAATACTCTTAATTATTTGTCGATCAAATTTTCCAAAGTTTAACTCATTAATGATTTCAAATCTCTCATAATATTTATGAGAAATATTTTCAAGATTCATTTCAGGTTTATAATTTGGAAATTTAATCAATGCGGACCATTGAAAGGTGATAAAATCCCTTTAAAGATATATAAAGAAGACAGTTAAGAAGAGAAGGGAGGAGGGTGAGAGAGAACGGGCCTAAAAGGATCGAATTTGATTTTCATTTAAATCGAGGAAATAATAATTCAGTCATATAATGTATAATAAGTGTATAAATTTAAATAATTAATGCTAACAACCAAGAAATTTGAAATAGGTTGTAAAAATATTCAATTTTCATTCAGATCTGAGTACTTTCAAAAATTTCCTGACACTACAAGGATGATAATCATAAAACATCCCAAGAGATTTTCAACACACGTCAACGACTCAAAAACAACTGTATAACGTTTATTAGCTTATGTTTTCTTTAGAAATGAATTCTTATCTATTTTAAGAATAAGATCTACATTAAGAAAATGTCAATGGAAAAAAAACCTTTCTGTATGTGATAGAAATGAATAAATTATACGTCAATTAAAAATCAAATAATTAGTTCTAATTATTTCTAGCATGTAAAAACTATTCCTACATCAAGAATCTCAACAGGTGAACAGACAAAAAAAACAACAACATGTGTACAGATCACACGTGTTAGAAATGAAACGTTCAAAAAATTAAGTTTCCAGAGAATAAGACGAATGCACACTTTCAAGAGTAAGATAATTGTAATTATTAATAATAATTTATTTATTATAATATTATTACCATATATAACAAAGGTCACTGGTATGATCTCGGAGTGGAATAAGTGATAAAAACTAAACTTTGTCTAAATTCAAGCAATAAGAATTGATGAATGCGATAGTCATAGATAGACACAAAAATCGTAGATCAAAGACCCAACCCTGACGCAACCCTGACACAACACACACAAAGAAACAAAGACACAAACACAAGCCACTTTCGTAAACGAGCCTCGCGGAACCAGTCTCGTGAAGAAAGAGACATATGTGTGTGAATTATTTTCCTCGATAAACATTCTAAGATTTTTGTGTCCATCTATGACTATCGCATTCATCAATTCTTATTACTTGAATTTAGAAAAAGTTTAGTTTTGATCAGTTTTTTTTCACCAGATAACGTATTCAAGTGCTAGAGATCCCAATATCTTATATAAGACCTTCCTGTATTCTCCTAGAAGATAACAAGCACAAATCATACCGATAAAATAGCAAAAGGATAGCCATTAAAATAGTAATAATAAAACTATCTCTCTTCGTTATCGCACTTACGTATCGAATGTCCTTATTGACCTGCTTTTTTTCTTTATCCATAAGACCTCGACATATTCCACAACGGGGAGGACTATGCGATCATCGATTTAGAAACCTTTCTTATTTTAAATATTGATCGAATCTCTTATTTTCATCATTGATTTAAAAAAAAAAAAAAAAAAAGGAATGGAAAATTTTAACGTAAGAAAAAGAAAATAAGAGAATGAACAGAAATTAATAGAAATAGAAAGAGTGAGATAAAAAAAAAAATAGAGAAAGAGACTAACAGGCAGGATAATATTTCAGAGTGAAAAATAAATGATTAAAGATGTATGTATTTGTATGTGTGTGTGTACGTTCTCAAGGCTTCTTTTAAAGAATAACATTAAATGAAACAATCAATAAACACGACGATAGAAAATTATGGAAAAATTTTTGTTTTTTAACATACCGGAAATTAATTTACGCGTCATTCAAGAATCCTAGTATCATATGTTTTTTTTTTTTTTTTTTTATTATTTACTGGTAGCTATATATACCAACTCAATGCTATACTTTTACTATATTTTCCACTTAGTCCTTTACCTGTTCGTGCTTTTAATACCCACTGAGAGAAATGACTGATTATGAGAATAGGCAAAATGGTAAATAACAAACAAACAAAAATATATATATATATATATATATATATATATATATATACGTATGTGTATATAGAAACTTACTTTTATAATCGATTTCTTGTCATTTCCATAAGATTTTTGTTGTTACTTTCACCAATAGTCAAGCAAGCAGTGTTCGTTTTTAATATTCAAGACACGTGTTGTTACTTCCTGCAAATACAAAAAAAATAATAAATTGTTAGATATATATATATATATAATTATAACGTAAATATAGAATATTTTCTTAACTATTTCATCGAATAATCAATCTCGACAATTTCGAAAAACTTTCAGCATTTTTTTTTCTTTTACAGAATACGAAATATACTTACTATGTATTTAAATCTCGAATATCTTATATCGTAGGTTGAAATGTTAAGCATTCTTTATACTTTGTCTAATTTTTTTTTTTTGTTCAAGAAGAACAGTACTCTTTTCGTGCCAAACGGATAGATACTCTTCATCTTTTCATTTCTTCTTTTTAGGTGTTGAAAACTTCCGTTACAAAGCAGAATACACTTTTCTTTCTCTCTTTTTTCTTCTTTATTCTCTTTATCCTCTTTATTCTCTTTACGTTCTATATGTTCTCTCTCTCTCTCTCTCTCTCTCTCTCTTTCTCTTTCTCTCTCTTTCTTGTTAAAGTGAAACTTTTTAGGTGACAGTAACGACAAAATTTTATGAAACTCCCCTGACAAGAAAAAAAGTATAAGGCATTAAGAAAAGAAAGAGAGAGAGAGATAGAATCCACAATATAAAAATATAAAAATAATATTTAACACCTTCTTTTCCTCCTTCATCTATTTTTTATTACAACTCTACGATGAAAGGTCAAAAAGTCCTTCGAAAATCTCCTTCCTATCTTTCTTACCTAATGTTGTTAGTCTAAATCACCTGAAATACAATAAATTTCTGTTAATTTTATAAAAAATATATTTAATTTTCTTTTAATTTTTATGTTACAGATGATGTTTTCGAACAAACTAAAGAACAAGTGAAGAAATATTCTGATCTTGAAGTAAAGAGTTTGGGTGGTGGAAGGATACAACATGATCCAGAAATTAAATCTATTCGAGTTTATGGTTACTCTCAAGTAAGTTAACAAGTACTATCTATACATGTACATATTTATTTTTTTATTATTTATATTAATTATATTTAATTAATATTTTTAATTATATTATATATATATATTTATACGCGTATTTATTTTATATATTATATTTTTCTATTTAATAATCTATTAATGTATTTTTATTTATTTCTATTTTAATTCTATTATTTTTTATATAAATATATTTATTAATATATGTTAAAGTTTAAGTTCCGTTAAAGAAATAATTAATAAAATTACTATCGGTAATAGCAGATCACTCTCTTACCTACGCAGTCACATCATTAATCGAGTGAGTAATTCAGTCGGTAATAGTAGATTAAATCTACAGTTGGTAATAGTAGACTAAATGCTCAGTCGGTAATAGTAAATTAAATTACAATCAATAAATTAAAAATTTAAATACTTTAACTAACTTTGAAAATAAATGTAATAGAGATAAATATTGATCTATTTTGAAATTTAAAAAATATAGCTGAGAAAACTAGCTAGACAACTCCTCACTACATCGCTTTGGTACTTTTCTTAATTGAAACGTATTTATTTAATTTTTTTTACAGGGATATGGGCAAGCCGATCACAGCTTAGCAGTAGATTTGTTGAAAACAAAATATCCTGATTACGATATTACCTGGACGAATGATGGTTATTAAAAAAAAAAAGCTGAAATATTTCTACCTGATGCTAGAAATTCTATCGAATCTTCTCCTTTGTAAAATATAAATATTTAAATAAAAGGAGCAAAAAAAAATCAATTTTTTGTACATATTATTTAGTAAAGAATTCATCATTAAAATTATAAATAATAATACAGATATATTTATTATTACAAAAACATTTTTTTTTTTATGAGAAGTATTTAATCATCATTTGATAATATATTTATAACTTAACTAGTATTGTTATTTCATTTAGATACAAACCTATCTAAAACACCATAACTTTTCTGAGGAACTTCCTTCTTTTTCAAAGCCATTTCTTCACTTACATCTTTGAGCATTTCTATGTGTTCCTAAATATAATAAAGGTTAAATATTAGTTTGTAGAAAATTGTACGTTTATTTAATATTATTGCAATACTTACTTTACGACTTAATTCTTTTAAGATCTTTTTAGTTTTAATTACTTTCGCAGTTCCTCCTTTACCTTTCGATTTAGTTTTACGTGGTTTAAAATCTATCTCCTTTGGCTTAATATACTACAATTTAAAAACAAAATTACAATCATATAATATAGATTATTTTATATGTGGTTGTAACAATAATAATGTCAAAATGATAGTATTATTACAATATTCAATTTGTTACTTACTAAAAGTTTCTTCTTTGCTTCTACTTTTTCTTTTAATCTAGGAACATCTACTTCTGCTAAAATTGTTGGATCTAATGATATTAGTTCTGGTTGAATTTTATCTAACAATGCTTTAACTTCTGCCTCGCGTCTTTGTTTCTTCGTTTGATATGGATTTATTTCTAAAGCATCAAAATTAGCTTCTGCGCTTCCAGGAACTAGGAGAGATGTAAAATTTTTGGCTGTTGCAACACCTAAAACATCTTCGTATGGACAGAACTGCATACTTGATATACTAGATGCTAATCTATGTCTTAAATATGGTTTTATTTCATTCACGGATTCTCTGTAAACAATTCAAATATATTACAAAATTAAATATACTACTGTCTGGATTAATAAAACGCAAAATTTTATTATAATATTATTTTACCTATAAACCTCCACTACATTTCCCATAGCAGCTGCTAAAAGACCTCGTTGACTGTATGATAAATGTTGTGCTGGATGTCGAAGAATCATATTATGAACAGGACCTGCAAGTTGACGAATATCCCAAACTTTCATATATCTATTTGAACAACTTGTAGCCATATAAGTTCCATAAGGATGAACGACACAAGCTTCAATTTTGTGTTTATGACAAAGCATTTTTGCTAGTGGTTGTTTAGAGTTAGGAGACCACATTGATACTACTCCTTTAGCATCACCGATACATAGTAGCGCATTAGTTGGATTTTGTGTCATAACCTATATTCAAATATTCATTGAAATTATTAACAAATATATATTTTATATTATATATTCATGTATATATAAATAGAAATATCTACTTGTAAAACTTACAGTTATGTTATTACATGTGGTAGAAAAACGAGAAACCAGTTTTCCTATAGAAACATCCAACCATGTGAGATAACTAGTTCTGGAACCGCTTGCAAGCAAAAAATGATATGGCAAAAATTCTAATTTATTAACATCGTTCATTCTCTTTAAACAATGAAGTTCTATTCCTTGATTGTCATAAATATAAACCCAATCTTTTTGTGCAACTGCAAACATTGTCTCGATATGAAGCCATGATACATCATGCACAGATTCCATAACGTTCATTTCACAAGCAAGTTTTTTAGTAATCCAATCGAAACCTGCTACATGTCCTTTCTTTCCACCCAAAACTAAATGTCTACCATTTCTAAAATATTTTAAACAATACGGACCAAAATTTAAATCTAGTGTAAAGAATTTAGTAGCACTTGTTATATCAACATTGTTAGCAATCTCTGATTGTTTATATTGTAGCGTTGAATCTCCAGGATCAGCCTCTAAATGACCATAATCTTCAGTTAAGAGTAATTCTGCTCTAGCAGAATTCTCGATTGCATGTTTTATAGCTTTTTCTTTACGCTTAAATTTCTCTATATGTATTTTATTTTTTATCTTAGTCGTATCTTCTTTCAAGTTTATTCCTTCTCCTTTGTCATACTTTAAAAGTCTTTTTTTAGGGATGGGAACTCTTCTTGGATGTGATTTCTTTTTTTTCTCTAATTGAAATAAAAGAAAACTTTTTATGTTAATTTATGCATACATGTACATATAATACATAACCAAATACAAATGCAAGTTTAATTTACTATCAAATGAAAATAATACTTACGTGTATTTTCCATCGTAAATATAATTTATATTAGCTTTTACAATACTTATTATTAAAATAACAATTCCATTTATTCTCACTCAAACAACTTGAACGTTTATTCAACAATAACATGTGCTTTTTAACCTATATATAGTTCTACCGTACTAGTTATTAAACATAACCTCTTGCAACGTGCGAATGACGAGACATCTAGTGTCGTATTTTATAGTTTCCAATTGCATTTTCTTACCTACAAAAGATGCAAATTGAAAGAAAAAGAAACGAATGCAAACGAGCGTTTGATTTAACCGGAGAATAAGACATTGTTTAGAAAAAAGGAAATGTTACATTGTCAACAGTGTTAATTGTAATCATCAGAAATTAATATGTAATTAATATCGTTGATTATTTTATTATTTTCTTTTTCACATCTTTTTTATTATATTTTCTCTTCAATTGCAGCTGCTGATAGAGAAACTTAGATTTTATTTATAAAAGTATATGTACTATACACGTTATTTAGTTTGTTGTTAAAATTAGAAATCTTTTACGCAAATTAAATATATATATATATATATTTTATTTTTTTTTTATCTAAAAACCACAAAGTTTTATTAATCATGAACACTGCTCCTGATCCCAAAGATGTGCAGGTATGGTTATAATTGAAATTATTTTATGTTTTATATATATATGTATATAAATAATTACATAAACTTGTGAAATCAGAATTTCTTTTTAATTAATCATTTAAGTTTCATTTATATTTTTCATTTTTTGTAATAATATTACTAAATATGATATCATTTATGTGCTCATTAAAGTTTAACAACATAACAGAAAATATAAATAATATTAATGATAAAATATTGTAATTCCAGGAATTCCTGTTTAAACAGGCAAATGTATCACAAATATGTGATAGTTTTACGTCCATTCCATTAGCTTGCAACCTTGTTACTGTAGACAAGAAAAGAGGATTACTTTATATAGCAAATAATGATACATTAACTATTTTAATATCAGGAAGTGAGATCAATGTAGAACGCAAAATAGAAATTAATTTACCTTTTAATATATCCAAAATATCTTTTAACTGTGATTATTCATATCTTGCCGTTACACCATTGGTATCTAAAGTATTCATTTACGATGCCAATGCTCTTACAAAACATGTATGTATATTATAACCTTGCCATTCATAGAAACAATGTTACATATTAATGTTTAATATTTTATTATTTTTAGGAAGTAATATTATTATACGAAGTACAATTATCTCCATCAAATGCAGAAGCTTTTGTCTTGGATTTAAAATGGAATCCTACTATGCCCAAAATGTTCTGTACCGTAACAACTGATCATACTATTGGCAATTTTGAAATAAAAGATGGAAAAGAAAATGCAGTTGGAATAAAAGCATTAGAGAAATTAAATGGAATTGAAGCTTTATGTTTGGCATGGAGTCCTAAAGGAAAGCAATTAGTTGTAGGATGTAAAAATGGAAATATTGTGCAACTTAAGCCAGATTTAAAAATTGCTAGAACTATATTGGGACCTAATCCGTACGTTGGCGAAGTTATATCTATCTTATGGATTAGTAATTATCAATTTTGTGCAGCTTATTTAAGCGATGAACAACACATTAATGTTCTTATCGTTGATGCTCCTAAAGGGGAAGCTAATGGAATTTTTACATGTTACGAAGATATAACATATGGAATGTTTGAGGTAGAAGGAAATAAAGATACACCTCGTTATTATTTTGATTGTGTACAAGAATGGGGTCTCATCATTGCTGCAAGTAGCGGAAGTAGTGAAGTAGCTGTTTTAGGATCAATAGATGGTGGTAATACTTGGAATCAATGGCAACTGATCGATAGTGGAAGAGCACAATTACCACTTATCAGAACAACAGAAAGTTATCCAGTTGGTTTTGCCATAGATAGAACACCAACACAAAAATTAGCATGGGGAGCAGATTCAACTCTTCCACATCCTGTTCCTATACTTCATATTTTAGGAACTTCTGGTCAATTGTGTAGTTTTCACATGGTTAATTTAACTCCTAATTGTCCTGCCATTACTTCACCACCTACTGAGACTGTAACTCTTCAATCTCCTCCAAACATGATGATACCTTCTAATGTATCATTAAGTAATGCAGTAACCAGTACTCCTTATTCAAAAGAAAATCGAAACGTTGCATTATTTGATCGTCCTAAAACTGTAGCGTCAAATATTTTTGGAGATTCATTGAAAGCTGCTGGATTTTTTCAACAACCTCAACAACCTCAACAACTTCAACAACCTCAACAACTTCAACAACCTCAACAATCTCAGCATCCTCAGCATCCTCAGCATCCTCAGCATCCTCAACATCCTCAGCATCCTCAGCATCCTCCACAACCTGTACAACCTCAACAAGCTCCACAACTTCAACAAACTCCACAACCTCAACAACCTCAACAATCTCAACAATTTTTACAACCTCATCAACAAACTGTGCCAAATACTATAGAGGAAAAAGTATCAATGCCAGCTAAAATTGATATTCCTAAAAAATCAATTCCTCAAGAAATTGAAAAAGTAGATCCCAAACCTGTTATGACTAAAGAAGTACATGCAAGTGAATCTGCTGAACAGCAAAAAGTACAAATCGATGATAGTATTTATGTACGTGCTTATATGGAATTATTTACTCTTTTTGAAAGGGAATTAAAAAACAGAACAGGACCACAAATATCTGAGTGTGGATCAGAGGAGGAACGACAACAATTAGGAGAAAGATCAGTTATAGTAGATCAATTTCTTACCGATTTACGAGAAACTACAAATAGTCTATCCACCGATATTGCTTATTTGAAGGCTTTACTTATGCAATCTTTTGCCTGGGTCGAAGAAGCTCGATCAAAAAATGCAGTAAATTCAGAAGGTGGTACTACGAGAAATTGTGAAAATAGTAAAATAGCAGAAACCCAGAAACTTTTTTATCATACTCAATCTCAATTGATACAAGCAAACAAAATTCTTGATTTTGAATGGTCCGAACATATGTATCAAAAAAAATCTAAAATGAAAATTCCCAGTTTAGAATTTCTTTATCAAAATCTTGTATTGCATAATAAAATTATTATAAAGGAAAAGAGCAAAATAGAAGAACTTAATAAAAAGTTGAAGTCAGTAAATCGTACAAATAAAACTTCTGGATTAAATCAAATGATGAGCAATTTAAAAGTATCATCATCCAAAAGAACGCCAAGTCTTCAAGGAAATACAGATGTTATTGATGCACGGTGTAAAGATATTGCTTTTAGGACGCTTAGTTTTACGTCTGAAAAACAATTGAAATTGAAAAATTTACTTTTAGAATCATCACCAAAACTTATCAAACCTGCAACTCCATCACCTATTCAAGATCGTTTAGAAGCTACCTTATCTTCTTTGGCATCTCTCAGTCCTGTAAGTACAGATTCTAAGAACAGGACAGAACAATCTCTAACCAAATATGATTCAGAAAAAGAAGATACTGTAGGACTTAAACCGCAATGTCCTTTGGCTTTATTGAATAATGTTGTTGCCAAGATTGGATCACCCGATACAAGTTCAATGTTGATACAAAGCAAGACATCAGCTAAACAAATTTCTAACGTTCCTTCTTTTCCTCCTCCAGCTGTTAACAAATTTTTACAAGCTGACAAAAAATATCCTGAAAGTTTTGAGCCACTGTCACAATCTATGAGCAAAAATAATGCTATTGCTGATGCAACAATGCAAAAAACTTATAGCAATGTATATGCTAAAGCATTACCTAAAGATACAGAGATCAAAAATGATAATCAAACATTACCAAAAAATGCTTTTGAATCAATGTCATCATTTTCAAATAGCTCATTGGCAAATGCATTACCATTAGAATTTTCATCAGTCAAAAATCAGCCCGTATCACGAAATATTATTGCTTCAATGGCATCAGGTGTACCATCGACAATTGCTAAAACTGATGCTATGAATGCATTTAGTTTTGCTAATTCAAATATGTTGCCTGCAATGATAAAAAATTCTTCATCAATTCCTACATCTGGTTCTTATCCCCCGGAAATATTTTCTTTTGTTTCGGATACTGTAAATTCCATGTCATCGGCTAACCAACCACAAAAAGAGTTACTCAATTTGATGGGAATATTTTTAGATCTCGAGAAAAAAGAACAAACTGAAATGACATCTATTCCAGAAAATGTTTCAGTAAATAATAAGGCCAATGTTGCTATTAATGCACTCCCTTCAACTGATATTAATCCACCAGCAGTTTTTACAACTCAGGCTACAACTAATAATAATATATTTGGAAATCTTATGTCAAAACCTAATATAGAAAAAACTTCTGAAACTTCAATCGCATCTGCTCCTGGAACAAACAGTACAAGTGATAAAACTACATCTACATTTGGAGCAAGTAATACTCAAGTACAACAACCATCAAATACATCAATATTTAGTGGTCAACCGACGACATCTAATGTATCTATTTTTGGAGGTAATTCATCTTCTATTTCAACTGCATCGACTTTTGGAGTAACTAAAACTACACCATCTGTAACACAAATGTTTGGAACACAAACTACTCAATCTTCTTCGAATACATTCAGTGGATTTTCTTCTACTCCTTCAATAGTATCTGGCACCACTACGCCACCTTATAGTTTCTTATCAAAACCAATCTTTGGCCAATCTAATATTACTGTATCAACATCGAATGTAGCTGCGGTAACTACTTCATCTGCTGCATTAACTTTTGGGAACACTACAACAGCGTCTTCGATTGCAAATTTGTCTCCTCAAAATATTGGAAAACCTGTAGAAACAACAGAGGCAAATCCTCAATTCCTCCCACCAACGTCTGTTACTTCAGTTACGAATATCTTTGAAAAAACAGCTATAACATCTAATCCTGCACCATTTAACAATCCTCCAAGTAATCCTGTATTTGGTAGTATATCTACGACTCAATCAACCACCTCAATTTTTGGAGGAAATTCTCAATCAACCACCTCAATATTTGGAGGAAATCCTCCACCATCAACAACTCCGTCAACCACTTCAGTTTTTGGAGTAAATACTCCACCATCTACGACTTCGTCAACTACTTCAGTTTTTGGAGGAAATCCTCCTCAACCATCTACGACTCAATCAACAACCTCAGTTTTTGGAGGGAATGCTCCACCATCTACAACTGCGTCAACCACTTCAATTTTTGGAGGAAGTCCTCCACCACCCACGACTCAATCAACCACTTCAGTTTTTGGTGGAAGTCCTCCACCACCCACGACTCCATCAACTACCTCAGTTTTTGGAGGAAATGCTGTTCAACCACCTACGACTCCTACGTCAACCACCTCAGTTTTTGG